TGGTGAATATCGGTTGGTAGATTTATTGCGTGGTGAAGATCGGTTGGGCAGATTAATAGAGAGGTGAAGATAGGATAGGTATATGCATAACGTGGTGACGATCGGTTGGGCAGATTAATAGAGAGGAGAAGATCGGTTGGTAGATTTATTGCGTGGTGAAGATCGGTTGGTAGATTTATTGCGTGTTGAAGACCGGTTGGTAGATTTATTGCGTGGTGAAGATCGGTTGGGAGATTTATTGCCTGGTGAAGATCGGTTGGGTAGATTTATTGCTTAGTGAAGATCGGTTGGGTAGATTTATTGCGTGGTGAAGATCGATTGGGTAGATTTATTGCGTGGTGAAGATCGGTTGGGTAGATTAATAGAGAGGTGAAGATAGGATAGGTATATGCATAACGTGGTGACGATCGGTTGGGTAGATTAATAGAGAGGTGAAGATCGGTTGGTAGATTTATTGCGTGGTGAAGATCGGTTGGGTAGATTTATTGCGTGGTGAAGATCGGTTGGGTAGATTTATAGAGAGGTGAAGATCAATAAGGTAGATTTTTAGAGATCAAGATCAGTTTTTATTGCAATTTTAACTTACTTGAATGAGTCGCAGCCGAACATCTTCCGGACAGATAGCTGGTCAATTGCACATAGCGGTAATGATAATAACTATATTTTTATTTAAATGAGACAATTTTTTTATTTGTTTCTATATTCACAAAAAATATGACGTCGCATGTCTGACTTTTTACGTTACGTTATTGGGTTATAAGTGGACCTTTTCCTCTGCAATGTTCTTGGTTTAAGTGTAGTGATTTAGATGATAGTAGGGCGGTGTGGGTACAGTAGTGGCAATTCAGGCATCTCCTGAAGCAGGTTCGTGATGTTCTGTTGAATTTCATGTAACTCTGTCCATCAAAATTGATTTAAAACTTATATTCTTCGTTTTAGATAATTATTATCCTAAATTTGATCAAAGTAAATATACTAATATTGAACTTTTATAATTGAATTTTTAAATATATCATATTTTCATTGTTCATCAACTTTTTTGGTTCATTTTTAATGTAGAATTTTAAGAGAAATATGAGAAAATGCTAACAAAATTGTCCACTAAGGAACCATGCTACAAAAAATATATATCATGTAGTAAGATAATGGCGTTTAAATCTTAATATCCAAACAACTGTGATACACGCGTTTATTTAAGATTCCAAAGTGAGTGTATATTATTTAAAACAAAAAGTTTTTTCGATCTTTGAAATCTCAAATTCACTAGACTAGCACTCTAACAAACTGAGCCATAGAGTTAATTGATCTTTCATAGCTGTAAGTTAGAGACATCTACGGAAAGCTCTGAAGACATCTGCAGAGTAAGCTGGAGAAATCCAAAGAGTAAGCTGGAGAAATATACAGAGTAAGCTAAACACATCTACGAAGTAAGCTGGAGATATATCGGAGTAGACTGAAGACAAAAACAAAGTTGCTGAATATATCTATAGAGTAAGCTAGAAATATCCACATAGTAAGCTGGAAATATTTACATAGTAAGCTGGAGATACAAAATGTATCTATATATTGAGCTACGGTTTTCAGGGAAAGTTGGATATCTCTACATAGTAAGCTGAAGATATATACAGAGTAAGCTTGAAATATTTACATGGTAAGCTGTAGTTATATACATAGTAAGGTGTAGTGACATACATAATAAGCTGGAAATATCTACATGGTAAGCTGTAGTGACATACATAATAAGCTGGAAATATCTACATGGTAAGCTGTAGTGACATACATAGTAAGCTGGAAATATCTACATGGTAAGCTGTAGTGACATACATAGTAAGCTGGAAATATCTACATGGTAAGCTGTAGTGATATACATAGTAAGCTGGAAATATCTACATGGTAAGCTGTAGTGATATACATAGTAAGCTGGAAATATCTACATGGTAAGCTGTAGTGATATACATAGTAAGCTGGAAATATCTACATGGTAAGCTGTAGTGATATACATAGTAAGCTGGAAATATCTACATGGTAAGCTGTAGTGATATACATAGTAAGCTGGAAATATCTACATGGTAAGCTGTAGTGATATACATAGTAAGCTGGAAATATCTACATGGTAAGCTGTAGTGATATACATAGTAAGCTGGAAATATCTACATGGTAAGCTGTAGTGATATACATAGTAAGCTGGAAATATCTACATGGTAAGCTGTAGTGATATACATAGTAAGCTGGAAATATCTACATGGTAAGCTGTAGTGATATACATAGTAAGCTGGAAATATCTACATGGTAAGCTGTAGTGATATACATAGTAAGCTGGAAATATCTACATGGTAAGCTGTAGTGATATACATAGTAAGCTGGAAATATCTACATGGTAAGCTGTAGTGATATACATAGTAAGCTGGAAATATCTACATGGTAAGCTGTAGTGATATACATAGTAAGCTGGAAATATCTACATGGTAAGCTGTAGTGATATACATAGTAAGCTGGAAATATCTACATGGTAAGCTGTAGTGATATACATAGTAAGCTGGAAATATCTACATGGTAAGCTGTAGTGATATACATAGTAAGCTGGAAATATCTACATGGTAAGCTGTAGTGATATACATAGTAAGCTGGAAATATCTACATGGTAAGCTGTAGTGATATACATAGTAAGCTGGAAATATCTACATGGTAAGCTGTAGTGATATACATAGTAAGCTGGAAATATCTACATGGTAAGCTGTAGTGATATACATAGTAAGCTGGAAATATCTACATGGTAAGCTGTAGTGATATACATAGTAAGCTGGAAATATCTACATGGTAAGCTGTAGTGATATACATAGTAAGCTGGAAATATCTACATGGTAAGCTGTAGTGATATACATAGTAAGCTGGAAATATCTACATGGTAAGCTGTAGTGATATACATAGTAAGCTGGAAATATCTACATGGTAAGCTGTAGTGATATACATAGTAAGCTGGAAATATCTACATGGTAAGCTGTAGTGATATACATAGTAAGCTGGAAATATCTACATGGTAAGCTGTAGTGACATACATAGTAAGCTGGAAATATCTACATGGTAAGCTGTGTTATATGCATAGTAAGCTGGAAATATCTACATGGTAAGCTGTGTTATATGCATAGTAAGCTGGAAATATCTACATAGTAAGCTTGAAGAGGAATTTGTAGTAGCTCTATCCAAAGGAACCATAGACATTCATGATTTTGATAACAAAACTCTGTGCTGTGAATTTGCGCAAGACAGTGCTTCTTTCCTTTGGAAAGCAGCACAGATAAATTTCAACGCTGCAGATCTAGTATAATGTAAACTTTACCAGATTGAATGAAAGGGTGAATACACCCTCCCGCAAAGAACAATGATACAGTGAACGATAACGAAATATGTATTTAACCACAATTTGTACATTGCATAATTTTCTTATTCTTAATTTTGTATTATACACTATCATTTTTGAGGAATAAAGAATGATGATGATGATGATGATAATGATGATGATGATGATGATGATGGAGAGTGGCACGCTTGTAGTGTAATCATTTCTCTTCTTTTCTATTTTAATTATTCATAACTTTTCTGAATTTTGAAACTCGTGAAATAAGGTTTTCTATGCACCTCCCCTTCTGTTTCGACAGTATTGTAGATCACTTCATATTTCTAACTGTTTGGCCTCAAGCATTACCGACGAGCCGACGAAGGACATGACAGCTATAGGACGCATGTCATTCAGTGGCATACTAGTACTGTACCTGATGTTTAAAGGTGCTATTCCCTGTGTGTGGGTTACGTTCAACTTCAGACATCTATGGTGGCATATTTCTGCCATCCACTTGCGACTTACGAGTTACGTATGTCGACATAATTATTGAAAGATGTCGACATAATCTGAGAATATGTCGACATAATCTGAGAAGATGTCGACATAACTGTTAAATTATGTCGACATATTATCACATTTGCCGAGATAATTTTGCCGAGATAATTATCTCGTAAGTGGGTAACTACGGAAACGTAAATGGACCTCTACTTATTGTAATACATGTCACTTTATCGACATAAGGTATGTCGAATTAACGACATTTTACTAGACATATCGTCATATAAATGTCGACATTTCGTGTTATATCATAACTTGTCAAAATAGTTTACGCGTAGAAAAATAATGTCGAAATGTAGAAACTCGTCTTAAATCGTATGTCGATAACTAAAAGTCGATGTATTGTGTTATATTATAAGTTATCGTAATGATTAAGTTAATTATGCCGATAAGATATATCGAATTTTAATTAACTCGACATAAATATGTTTGCATGTTATGATCAATTATATATAGCAAGATATGTATGTTGACATAACGTTATAATAAAGCAGCCAAGGTTGTATGTCACAGTATAAACCATTAACGACGACGGCACAGGAACAAGGTACATGTACCTGCACGTTAGGCTGAAATACATGCAGAATGAAATATGCATCTGGTAAGTTTACAGTTACGTTTAAATATACACATATATATTTATCTTAAATTGCTAATATTTCTCGTGTGTGGAGAGAAAACATTTTGAAAGTAGAGATATCAAATGTTATTTCATCCAATCAGAGGGCAGGCGGGTTTTCTTAAATGATGATACTCTCGTTCCATTTGTCCGAATACAACACATTTACCCTCACATAATACTAATAATTGAACGAGTGGTGACGTTTTATTAGTTATTTCATTACTTAATATACCCCCTTTTCCATTTTTTCTGAACCATAACAGCGAGCTACAAATTCAATGTGTCCTTTTTTATCAGTCGTTGCTATCTAGAGAAGACGTATTGATAATGATTATGTAGGCGACTTTCTCGAATTATATAATAAATAGAATCTAACAATCTGTACATGTGATATAGAATTGATTAATCTCGTTGATTAATTTTATATAAAATAAATAAATTCGTTTATACAAGGGTAAACCGTCTACAGAAGCCTGAGAGACCACCTTTTTTTTTTATTATACATGTATATATATGACGGATAGAGAAGCAGATACCCCTTCATTTGGAGGGGAGGGGGTGTTATAATTATGTGATATTGACCTGGAATTTGTACCAGACCGGTATGTGAAATAAAATTCACTTGTTTAGAGGTAATATTTCATATTTCTTTAATGGTAAATAGCGAAATATTTTGTAACACCAAATTGAGGCAATAATAAAATGTATTGAGATCAAGAGATCAAAACCCCCAAAAAATACTTTGTTGGGGCACTGCATTGGAGATGTGGGTGCCCTATAGTAATCATGGTGGCCGTCAGTCTATCCATTTACACTTTCGTTTCCGGAATCCAAATTTTTTAAAGGACTAATCGTTTTGAAATTTAACATTTTTTAATTATTTATTGTGATACGTACATGAAGATGTGCAATAGGGGTTTAAAATGTTCTAAGGTCAAAGTCAAGGTCACTGTTACTAAAAATAGACCATGGGTGTTATATACTGTCCTTATCGCAGATTCCAGAATGCTAATCTTTTTTAAATTAAACAAGGTCATAGAGTGTGATAAGCAGATGTGTAATAAATGTTTAAAAAGTTTCTTAGGTCAAGGTCATCATTATTAGAAATAGACCATGATGGTTTATAGTCAAGCACATGGTGGGGAAAATCATGGAGAAGAAAAGAAAAAGTGTGAGTATAAATATACTAATTTTATAATGCAGCTGCCTAGGAATACGTGTCACCATATGAATCAACTTTGATATTGTTTATGATTATACAGAGTGTTCTACCACGGGCAGAGAGTCCAGGCCAAATAAAGGAAATAAAGGTGAATTTGTAAAAATCACTTCTCATTCAGTAGTAAAGGGATTTTGAGTTATTATAGTTGATCTGGATCATCAATTGGCCAAGAGGACTAACTTTGTAGAAATGTCTACCTGGTATTAAATGACATGTGTTTCTTCCTCGGGACAGAGAGGCAGAGTCCAATAAATGAATGATTTAAATTTCTACTCTATAGGTTAAATGGGTGTTGACATGATAAAGTTGGTCTGAAGCATCCTACTCTTATCGCTTCTGATTGGTTAAAATGCAAATAGTGTGGATTAGTTCAATCAAATTTAGTATGTAGGTGTATTTTGGTAATGTAAATTCTACCTCTGCAAGATGGCTGTGGTTGCCCGGCATGCGATTGATTGATATTATGCAATATTAGCCAACTTTGTTTATACTTATCAATTTGAGAGTCAGATTCGCGATGGCCAACCTGGCTTCTGATTGGCTGATACATGGCTAAACGTACAGTTATTAGCTGCGGGGATAACAATGCCATCTTTTGTGGCAAATTATTTGCGACTACATGACTAGTTTGGTAGTTATTACATGTAGTTTCGATATCACAAAATAATAGAAACTTTTCTTTTCTTTTTAAAAAATGTGTTTTAATGAAAAATGTTGGACATTCAGATTAAATTCTAAATCTTAATTGTAATTGCTAGTGCTAGTAGTCATGGTCATTAATTAGTATACAGCAATTAAAGTTAAACTGATGAAATACTCATTTATACTGGTAATAGCTAATCATGGTGTCAAGTGTACATATGTGTATTTCTTCTATATATAATTTAAGTTTGCAATCAGTCAAATTTTAGTACACATGTGTATCTGAAAAATGAGTACAGTACCAGTATAGTTTAATTTAAGTTATTGGTAAAATAAACGATACATATATGGAATATGATTAACAAAGTATAATTGGTACATGTACATAGAATGATGAAATAATTCTGAAGATTTTCCAAAGATATATTCATACTTGTTTAATTGGTTATTATCAACTTCAGCAGTCGTTAGGAAAGAAGAAAAAACAATCTACTTCCACAATCCAAGTTGGCTGGATGCATTTTTTTTATGGGGAACGTCGCTATGCCCAGGTGAAAAGCAGTAGGGGTTGCACAACTGGAGGAACAGGAACATTGTCACTTCCATCAGATAGTACCTATGGCCTAACACTGAACAAGTTAGAGGAGAGGTATTTTCCAAATGAAAAGAATTCAAAGGGAAAATAAGGAGAATGGAAACAAAACTTGGCACCAGCAAAGGAGAGGAGATCCTGGAAACAAGCTTCCCTCTTGATAACTATCTGACAAATGTTGCGTGTACACAAAAACCACGCATAGATTTGCTAACAAAGCAAAAGGTATGTACAAAAACAATTACATTTTACACAGGTGGGATTAATTATCAGCCAACTCATAATAGTTGCAAATCAATGACTAAATTCAGTGACAAATGAACATATACCGGATATGATAAATGGTTTTTATCAAAACTTGATTGACTGCTAGGAAAGAGTTATCATTTTAAAATGAAAAGTGCTGTATTTTTTTATTTATTTTTTTGTATCTTGCTCTTTTGTTTTTAAATAGTTATGAACTTTGGCTTTTTGCAAACATCTTAATTCAAAAATTCTTTGGTCTCCCTATGTAAATCATATCATTAAAAGCACATATATTTTTTATAGGTTTATATGGGTTTGCAAGGCTATAATAGAGAGTACTTTGTGAATTCAAAACTTTCAAGCAATTAACATTTCGAACATACATAACATACTAGTACTTCAGGCAAATTATTTGCAAACATTGATAACCTTTCAACAACAGATGGTTATGAATCTCAATTAAATTTTTACACAATTTTAATTTTGTAAATGTTTATTGAACAAATATGCATACCATTTTTATGGTTATCAATTCTATGTGCAACATACATTAAGTTACAAAAATGAAGTACATGTATTCAATTACAACTGATCAATTTTAATATAAAAATCATTGCATATTTTGTTTGTTTGTTTTTGACATTGAGGGCCTCGAGACTGGATCATCGGATTTTGATGGATTTGATTTGCCTGATCCATTTGTGGAATACAGTCATGTAGCTACGTCGACCTCCACAAATGTCTTCACTATGGGCAACGTAACTACACCAGCATCACAAGTACCGGTAACACCAACCACAACAATGCCTGTCGTGACACCACCAGTAAGGCCCATCACAACAATTTAACTCCTATCTCTACAATGTCGGCCCTAACAGTCCCAACAATACCAGTACATGTACAGACACCAGCACCAACCTATGGGCCAATGCTGGGACATCAACAGTAAGTTGTGTTGTGTGTATGTTGAAACTCAAACTGTTACAGTAAACATTCCAAAGAATTATCATGATGCAACCAGCAATGGGCCGGTGCATCAAATTGCTTTTATATTTAAATTAAGTAGACTAATTTGGATGTATAAGTTTTTGTAATCATAAAAATATTGATTGGACATGCAGATGGACAATTAAATAAGATAGAGGACAGTTGAAAATATCAACATATTGGGTTTCAAGTTACAACAATTATTTAACTGAATTTTTTTGTATAGTTTAATCAAGTCTCTATAAGCTACATTTTTGTTTGGTTTAGGTCTCAATGAGACTTCCAACAGATGGGGATTGTGGAATCTGCACTGATAGACAACGGAGTGCCTTCTTGGTGCCATGACGGCACACGTTTTGCATGGTATGTGCATTGCACCTGGAATCTACCAGCAGATTGTGTGCTATCTGCAGAACAGTTATTACTAAAGTCAATCCTTTATACAACTAACAGTTCTTTGGACAAAATAACTGTATGCCTTTTTTGATTGCATAAATTGAAATGATACTAATAGCTACTAGTGACGGGTACAGGCCAGTACTGCACTTACACAAGCTAGGTTGAACGCTTTTTCAGTGAAATAACTATTTCTCCTTATGTTTGAGAGCACTGCTGATAGCATCAATAAGTTTACATTATCTCAATCTGTATGAATGGAAATGGGTAATAATGGCACCCAAATGACAACAGATGGCCCCGATTGACTTCTGCAATGCATGAGGCGATTTAACTTCCTGAACAATGTCTAGTTCGTAAAATACAATTTGAACTGTGAACCTTCGATTTTTATGCTTGCGAACATATTCTATTAATTCAGATCTGGATTACATGATGATGACTATAACTCTCAAAAGGCATAATTTGATACACCTGTAATGGAAATTTAACGGAAGTGGTGAATACGTATTTTTCTAATGTGATTGTCTCCATATGTTAACAAAAGTATTACTTTACATTTCATTCATTAACGAATTTGGGGAACGTGCTGTATTAATGTTTTTCATAATTTCATACATATATTAGGGCCCTGCATCAGAGATGCGGTTGTCCTATAGTAATCGGGTAAACCAGTCCGTCCAGCTTTCCATCTGATTTTTTGCGTTTGCAGAATATTGATGGAAATAAATGATCTTTTTTAAATTAAACACAATGATTTCCCTTTGACCTTAGTTCTGCTTGGTAAGTTTTTGGTCTGATTGGATTTTAATCAGCCATCTTAGATTTTAGCATAAACATTTTCAAATGTTGTTTCTCTTAACTGGTAAACATTTTGTTATGATATTATGAAGCAAAATTGGTCAAAATCAAAGAAGAAGTCAAATGATCAAGGGTCATGGTCATTATATCAAAGGTCAAGGTCATTTTTTATCGCTTAGCTAGTAAACATTTTGTTTTGTTACACCTCAAGTGAATTTCTAGCTATTTGATTGGTTGGGAGAAAATTAAACAAAAGTCTCTGTCACCCTCCGAAAATACATTGGTTTTAAGGGGCGCGGGTGATATTGCCATGAGACAGTGAAAAATATCACATGCGCGAAAAATGTGCGTTCACCGCTTCGTTTCCCCACCGTGATGGTCACAAGAACGTTTGCTAAATGTGACCTTGACTTCGGCCACGCCTCGGGTGACAATGTTTTTCTCGGGTTGACAACATTCACTGTCACCTGTTAATGAATGTCATATTTATATAATGACATTATGAAGCAAAAACGGTAGCAACTGATCAAAGCTCAAGGTCAGTGGGTCAAAAGTCAAGGTCACATTTAGCATATCTTAATTAGTAAACAATTTGTTATGACATTATGAAGCAAAGTTCATCAAAATCAAACAACTTAGGTGTCAACTGACCTAGGCTCAAGGTCATTTGGTCAAAGATCAATGTAAAAATTTGTATCTTGATATAACTGGTAAGCATTTTGTTATGACATTATATGATTATGAAGCAAAGCAGGTCAGAATTAATAAAAGAAAGTCATCTGACCAAAGCTATATGAAGCTTATGATGAGATCTTATCTTAAATATCTTACCACAGTATATAAATATCGGATTAGACACTTTCCTTGCTCGGACGTTTTGTATTTTATATAACATGTTTTTTCAGAAATCTGCTTGCAGAATGCACGAGTTTGAACTTTTATTATACTGGTACTATTTATACATATATTGGAGTGCTTAAAAACTACATTGATTTAATTTAGTTTGTTATTTTGTTATGTTTTGAGAAGACAATAGTACTGTATCATTTTAAATGATAAAAGTAAAACTTTGATATCTAAACATGTGTTGTCGTTGTTGCTTTCTATTTATAGAGCTGTACTTAATTTAGATAAAAAAATATATGGACTTTTCTTTTCTATTTTTAGGTCACCTGAGACAAAGTGACCTATTGCGATAGCCTTTTGTCCGGCGTCGTGCGTCCGTAAACAATTTACATTTTCGACTTCTCCTCAGAAACCTCTGAACCAATTTCAATGAACTTTTGCAAAAAACTTCCATGGCCAAAGGTCAACCAAAATTGTGAATAATATGGTCCCCAGCCACCAGGGGCCTGAGGGGCGGGGCAAAAAAGGAGCAAATTGACTAAAATTTCAAAAATCTTCTTTTCAAGATCCAGATATGGTAAAATCAAATACTCTTCATATATGGAAGGGTCTTAAGGTGCTTAACCAAAATAGTGAATTACATGACCATGGAGTCTCACGTTTCCCCTTGGGGAGGGGTAAACTTTACTATAGTTTATATGGGAAATCACATTTTGGACCAACATTTGTTTAATTTCCATTGGAATTAGTTCAATTTTGGTTATCATTATCAGCATTGGATAGAAGTTTGATAGTATGCACATTTAAGCCCTGACTAACCCCTAGGGGATGATGGGTGGGGCAAAAAAAGGGTTGAATTGACTGAAATTTCAAAAACCTTCTTCTCAAGACCCAGATATGGTAGAAATCAAATACTCTTCATAGATGGAAGGGACTTAAGGTGCTATACCAAAATTCAGCTGACTGACAGAACCACTATTTGCACATAGTACATATACTACCCAGATCTTTCACACTACTTTTGCATTACATGTAGTTCAAGTTATCTTTGTTACAAAAAGATTTCTTTTTCATTTGGCAACATGGATAACATCAGTTTTTACATAACAAACAAAACATTTTACAATTTAGAATTAGGTAAGTAATATGGCAAACCAACTTAGTATGTATTAAAGGAACAATGATTAGTTCTTTCCCAAGGGAAAAAGAGGTACTGTTATGTGAGTACCAAAGGTATACCTTATGGGTCAAAGAAGTAATATCAACAGTTAAATCCCATATAACACTGGGTCCTTATCAACGTATGTTTGAGAATTGAGGTATACCTAAAAAGGAACTCAAATGGGTACTTTGAAGAAAAAACCAGAATCCAAATGAGGACTTTTGAGGTACCTTGACGAAATCAGAGTCCAACCAAATGGAGGTACTTTATAGGTATACATCAAGCCAGAGGTACTTTTAGGTACTTTAAAGATATACCCCAAAGTACCTTTTTGTGCCCGAGATACATTTATGAGGAATAACAACTAAAGGCATTTTTATTCAGGTCAAACATTTTTATATGTCTCTCAAATCCATTAATGAGATATAATATTATACATCGATGTATGTGTCACTTTAAATTTAATCATATATAATTATAATGAATATAGTACAAATGTCTCGTAAAATGTCAAAAACGGACGGATGTACAGTATTTATATTTGCACAAGCCAATGCCATTTTCCCTATACATATGAGGAAATGCTTCAACTGATTCTCCTAAAACGTTATTGCTCGCCAAAAGCGCACGCCTTACTCATATTACCGATTCTTCCACCGACAATGACGCTGAACTGTAACAGACTAGATATTCAGTGGATTCCGGCTGAATATTTTTATTATTATTTAATACGTCTACACACAAAGTTCTGTATATTCAATATTGAACAAATAGAAACATAAAGCTACGTGTACTTTGCATGAGATACTTTTTGATTAAACAGAGGTGTTTTTTTGGCTAAAATTTACTGAGACTGAATATTTAACTTTAGCGTCGGCCCCCGCTTGGAATTTCAAAACAAGATAAATACAAAAAGGTATGGGTATAGGACGCTTTGATCAGGAACATTTATTTTCAGAATTCATTTTATGACAAATGGGACCTCATTGACTTACACCTGTGTGGGTGTTAAAGGTGCGGTAATACAATTCCTCCTAAAGCATTTAAATGACACAATTACCTTAACATTATATCATCATCGTGTGCAACATATTCCAACTGTTATTTTGATTCCAAATATTACACTATTTTAAGAAAGAATTGTTCTCTTTATTGAATATTAAAGCAGAAAAGTATGTGAAATTTCATTACTAATGAGAAAATTCCCTTTTTGAAACGTTAATTTACATAGTTCTAAAACGAGTCTATTTTTCATACTTGCTTGAAAGTTGGCTACCAATGATAACCTCCAATACTAGGAATTTCATAAAAATTGACAACCGGTAAAGTTGTCATATAACACTTTTGATTCAAAAAAAGAAAAACATAGCTTTCTTTCCACTTTTCCTTTAAGTTGTGTTTCTTCATGACCAAAAGTCATTGGGTCTTGATATTTGGCAAGTAGGTTGTTCATGTGAATGGATTTAAGTTTTGTAAACATTGATGACCATGACCTTCGTTCAAGGTAACAAAATCAAATTTGCTAGAATAAAATGTTTGTATGGTCAGACAAGGATATTTTTCCTTGCTTTATTTGTTTAGAGTTAACGATATAAAATAATGTAATATTCCTTCATATTTTGATTAGTGAATGGGCAAAAGGCAAC